CCTAAGGGGCTGTGTGCTCAGTGTGGTGGTGCTGGAGATGCTGTTCCCGATCCGGACTGTCTGAGGTCTATCAGTCAGGAAGTCCAGGATCCAGTTACAGAGGGAGGTGTTCAGGCCCAACAGGCTTAGCTTTTCTGTCAGGTGCTAAGGAATGATTGTGTTGAATGCTGAACTGAAGTCTATGAATAGCATTTGAACATATGTGTCCTTTTTGTCCAAGTGGGTGAGTGCCAGGTTAAGGGTGGTTGCGATGGCATCGTCCGTGGAGCAGTTGGGACGATAGGCGAACTGTAGAGGATCCAGAGTAGGTGGCAGCAGGGACTTAACATGCCTCATGACGAGCCTCTCGAAGCATTTCATGTGAGTGCTACGGGACGATAGTCGTTGAGGCAGGACACTGGAGACTTCTTCGGCACAGTAATGGCGGTGGTGGTCTTGAAGCACGTGGGAACAATGGCGGTGCTCAGAGACATGTTGAAGATGTCAGTAAATACATCTGCCAGCTGGTCTGCACATTCTCTGAGCACTCTCCCCGGGATGTTATCTGGCCCCGCAGCCTTCAGTAGGTTAACTCTGTGAAGAGTTTTCCACACATCAGCCGTGTCAGACATATCACCTGGTCGTTGGGAGAGGGGGAGAATTTCTTTGCCGCTACATCGTTCTGTGCGTCAAATCATGCGTAAAAGTCATTCAGCATATCTGGTAGGGCGGCATCACCATCACAGGTGGGTTATGTTGTCCTGTAGTTGGTGATGGCCTGGATACCTTGCCACATGCGCCGTGTGTCATCGCTGTCCCTGAAGTGACTGTGGATTTCCTGCCCGTGGGCGCATTTCGCTGCTCTGATGGCCCGAGACAGTTTGGCCCTCGCTGTTCTTAGGGCCGCCTTGTCTCCTGCAGAATCATGGGTCTTCAGCAGCTCGCACACCTCTGCAGTCATCCACGGCTTCTGGTTTGTCCTCGCGGTGATGATCTTGGAGATAGTGATGTCATCGATGCACTTGCTGATGTAGCTAGTCACTGATGACGTGTATTCCTCCAAGTAGATGCTGCCGCCGTTGGATGCAGCCTCCCTAAACATGTGCCAGTCAGTGTGGTCAAAACAGTCATGAAGAGCAGAGATGGCTCCTGCAGGTCAGCTTCTCACCTGCTTCAGAACCGGTTTAGAGCATCTGACGAGCAGTCTGTATGCTGGAATTAGCATAACAGAGATGTGGTCTGAGTATCTGGGCTGGGGGCGTGGCTCCACGCGGTACGCGCCAGGAATGTTTGTGTAAACGAGATCCAGCGTGTTCTCCTCTCTCGTTGCAAAGTCCACATACTGATGGAATTTCGGGAGAACTGTCTTGAGATTTGCGTGGTTGAAATCTCCGGTGATAAAAACAGTCCATCCGGGTGTGTGTTCTGTAATCCACTGATAGCTGTGTACATTTCACAAAGCGTTTGTTTAGCATTAGCACTCGGGGGAATATACACTCCAACAATGAACACAGTGGTGGTCCCGGCCGCAGGCATCAGGCAAGGCCGAGGGCTGGAGGCCCTAATATTGCTTCTCACTTATAAAGTTCTGCATAACCTCAATCCTCACTACCTCAGTGAGCTCTTAACTCCCTACTTTTCTGATGACTTCATCTCATTACTGCATTTTCTGATTCTCTGATGAGACTGCAATTATAGGCTGTATCAAGGATGGGCAGGAGACTGAGTACAGGAACCTTGTGGAGGACTTTGTGGGATGGTGTAGAACCAACCAGCTGCAGCTGAACATCACCAAAACCAAGGAAATGGTAGTAGACTTCAGGAGGTCTGCCCCTCCATTGCTGTCTGTCACCATCGACATGGTGAATGTGGAGACTGTCAGTACATACAAGTACCTGGGGGTTCACCTGGACAATAAACTGGACTGGTCTGCCAATACTGAAGCACTTTACAAGAAAGGACAGAGCAGGCTCTACTTCCTTAGGAGGCTGAGGTCCTTCAATGTCTGTGGCAAACTCCTGCTCATGTTCTACCAGTCTGTCATGGCCAGTGTCCTTTTCTATGCTGTGGTATGTTGGGGAGGCAGCAATAGGAAGAGGGATGCTGGACGACTGGACAGGCTGGTGAGAAAAGCAGCTCTGTGGTGGGCATGGAGCTGGAGTCACTGACATCAATTGCAGACAAGAGGACCCTGAGCAGACTGCTCTCAATACTGGACAATGAGCTTCACACTCGGCTGCGAACCACCCCAGTGCATGCTGGAGATCCCCAGCAGATGAAGCCAACAGGA